GGTTTTTGTTATATATTCTAAGTAAATAGAAAAATAGTAGAGTTAATTCTATTTAGTATAGTTTATAATTTTTAAAAACTTAATATAGGTTTATAATTGTAACTATCTAATAGTTATATAGTAAGAGTCACATATATTTTTTCTTTTTTTGCTTTTTCTCTTTTTTCTTTTAATTTTTGTATTTTATCTTTTATTATCTTTCTCTATACTTTTGTATTTTTTTATATAAGTTTTTTTTTGTTATTGTTTACTTTTCTATAAGAAAATGTTATCAGATTAGCAACATCCTATTGTAGAGTGGTAGTCAAATGCAGCCTCTAATGTACTCTAATTTTTTATGAAGTTAGATAGTCAATGCAAACAGATTACTCATAAGACTCATAGAAGTATCTGCAAGATGTTAGGCCAAAAAATTATGTAAAATTTTGTATATATATATGCAAAAAATCATAATAAAGATGAATCAGCAAGATTGCTTAAGTAAAAAAAAAAATTAAAAAATATTAAGAATTTTTTTTATATTTTTATTATAATATATATTAGTCTAATTAAGTTTTATAATATTAATTACAAGTAAATTTAATAAATCTATAAAAATAATAAAAAGATATTTTTTTAATAATTTTTTATTTTTTTTTTATTATCAAGATTTTTTTAATATATATAATATCTCTAATATAACATTATAAGAATTTTATTAAATTTTTTTAATAATTTTTGCAGAAACAAAAACAGATTTAAGAGTTATAAAAATAAAATCCATTTAATGATCTTAAACAATATTTATTTATACATTATAAATAACCATCAAAAATTTTAAATTATTGATATATTAGTTAATTTTAGTTTTGACATTTATATAAACTTAATCTAATAAAATGTTTGTAATTCAAAATATATATATATATATTTAAAAAGAATTTTAATTAAATTAATTTTAGAAAAAGACAATAGTAAACTACAATAAAAAACTACTTATACAAATAACAAGTTTAATTCTTGTTAAAATAATTTATTTGTTAAAAATTTATTAAAAAGATTTCTAACAATTTACTATTTTAATTATTTTATTAAACATTAGTTTTAAAATATTGTATCAAAATCTTATTTAATACTTGTAAACAGTTATTTTATAGATATATTTTATATCACCTGCATCTTTACCTATTTTATAATTACAGTAATTGCATCAAACCTATTTTTTATTAAAGTCATTTACAATTCTTAATTGTGTAAGATGATTTCAAATTGGTCTTTTAGATGACATTATAGAACATAAATATCAAAAATAAAATAAAATAAAATTATATAAATTTTTTGCATACTAATATATAATATAAAAAAGATATATTGTAACAGATTAATTTTATTATATTATATATAATAATAAATTACTAATTATTAAAGTTTTCTAATCAATTACTTTATTTTACAAGAAATATAACATCATTTCACAAAAATCATGCATGATCACATGTGCAAAAATTTGTAAACTCATAAAATGTACATCTCTACTCACACAGCAATGAGCAAAAAAAAATTTTTTTAAACTCAATTTCTTGAAGAATTAAAGTGTTAGAAATACAATTTTTATAAAATTACAAAATCAAATTTTTTTGCCCACTGCCTTCTTTTGTTGTAAGGATTCTCATATAAAGTCTTCTCTTTTATCATCTTTTTAATTATTGTCATTAGTGGAATGGTTTAAAAGACTCGAGTCACTGTTAGACCCGTTCTACCTCTTTATAAGCACGGGTTAACCTAAGACAATAGTCAGTAAATACGTTAATAATTGAATGTCTTACGGCCGTCTTATGCTAGTAAGTAATTATGTCAATAACTAGTATTGACGTTTGGAGTGATTTGCAATTATGAAAGAGACGAACGCCTAAATGTATATGAAGATACAAATAGACGTATTGATTTATTTAATAAAACCCTTGAGTTATTCGTGTATGAAGACACGATTACTCTTTATTAATGAATAACAAGTGGGAGCACCCCGATTCAATCGGGGCTATTTATACATGTTTACTACTATAGATCTGCACGACTAATCTTTAGTTCACTTGCTAATATTAATTCTATGTTGGTTAACGATATAATATATAGAGGAAATAGTAAAATTGCTAAGTAATAATATATAAATAAAAAGAAAGAAGAGTGGGGATGAATATCGATTTAATCTGTTAGCGTTAGCATCCAATACGGGTTTGTACGACTGCCAGACGTTGATCGAAGGTCTTTGTCATGTGATTTATCGAACTGTCTCGGATTTAATTGTCAAGTGACTTAACATTACCCGAACAAATAGTTATATAATTTACTGTTGGCTAATGGTCAGACCTATCGGCTCACGGGCTGATTGCTTTATTAGTAAATCTGTACGTAGCCAATCCGATAATCTGTAATTGGCATGCTGTGGCGTTAAAGAAAATTTACTAATATCTGATATTCAAAAAAATTATACTCTACTTATAGTACGTACAGCATGCCAAGGTGGCATCCTGACGACACACACATGACAGGTAATTAAGTTTACTTACGTATCACATCAGGGCTGTGTCTAACAAATCTATAATAAATAATAAATTCAACAATATAATAAATAATAAGTTCAACAATAAATAAATTCAACAATAAATAATCAATTCAACAATAAATAATAAATTATAAATCCGACAATAAATAATAAATTCAATAAATAATAAATTCACGTAATCTTACTAGTGACAATGTCACATGGGACTGTATTAAGTTGCACTAGTAAAATAATTTGGGCAAATTTGCGTTCAAAAGGATAAATTTCTAATTTGATTTCGTTATTTTTAAATTTGATTTTTTTTTTACTGATTTATTGGTTGATTGACATATATTACCTCAACGCTAATTTATAATGATTGCGTACATTGCGATCATGTGATACCTGTCCTAACGGTTTCTGTACAATAATAAAACGTATTTGGGGGACATTTAAAGCCTGGCACCTTTCGGTTTTTCTGATTTTTTTAATTAATATCAGGTTAAGGTTAGATCATAGGCTAGAAGGGTAGTATATAAATAGTAAAATAGCATTTTTGACACTTTTACTTAGTGCACCAAGACCAGTTTTGATAGGCATTTTTTATATTTTCGTGTTTTTGTCTTCGGACCAATACGGGACGAATCTCGGGTGATTTCGTAAGGTGCCAGGATTTAAACGACCCCCATATTTGGAATTACATTTTTATTTATTAAGCTTTTTAGGACGTTTAAATCCAGTTTCCATTTTTATTTTTAAGCATATTTATACCGTTTATTTCTGTTTTACGTACGTATAATTTACACAAAAAAATGACTTCGATGTATACGGTAAATTTCGAAAATTTGAAAATTTTTCGTCTATTTTATTAAAGATGTTGCTTTTCGATTAATATGATTTACAATTATCTACCAAGATTAATTATGCGCTAAGAGCGCATAAGCGTGATCCTTTTATAGAATTCATTAAGGTAACAACAAATTTCACTTTATAAATAATCGTTAATACTTTTAACTAACAAAATTTTCCTTGAATGCCTATAAAATACTAATATGTAGGGAATGCTTATGACACCATTTGTTTTACATGCCAAACCAGTTCCACCGAAGGGTGACTCAACTGATAGAGATGATGTAAACGTAGATGATCAAATGGATGCAAATGTTGCTAGATATTGTGATATATTATCGAGTATTGAGGAGTTGATAAATGTATGTAAATCAATGACAAATTTTTAAAAAAAATTGATTGTTCGATTAATTTCTGCATTTTATTTATTTTATTTAATTTGGTTATTTTGTTAAATGTATAATTCAGGAACATATTAGGAAAGAAAAGAAAGGTGAGTGCTTATATACTTCGATTTATTAACATTTCTTATAATATTCAATATTTATCTGTTTATCAATAAAGGTGTTCCTGAACAATCCCGACTCAAACGTCTCGTTCCATCAGTTTCAACTTTTCATACCCAATTGCCATTACGTGAATCTTTTCTATTAGCTAATGCTAAACATTCAATTGCTGCTCGTCGATTTGTTCCACCTAGTTTTAATGACATTCGAAGGTATTTCATTTTTATACTTTTGTTTCTTCCATAAATAAGTGATCATTTTTTTATTATCTGATGATACTATTCTAGAATATTAAATACTGCTCAGGTATTGATTATTTTCTATTATATTATAATAAATTGATATGTTGTTTTCAAATATATTTTGTTTTAAACCAGATTATCGCGATTGCACCAAAACTTAAATTGATAACCTTGTAAGTGTTCATCATTATATAAGTCTTATTTCAATCTTATGTAATCCAAATTAATTTGTATATTAATTAGCGACGGAGACATGACACTTTATGATGATGGAAAAGATTTTGAGCACGATTCTGCATTGGTCAATTTTCTTGTAAGATTATTGGAATTTGATCTTAAAGTGTGTGTTGTGACAGCCGCTGGTTATCCAGGTGATGCAGAACGTTATGAACAACGACTATCAGGTTTATTAAAAGGTTTTGAGAGTGCACGACTACCTAAGATATTTTGCGAAAGATTCTATGTGTTGGGTAAGTTGTAGATAATTCCCATTATTTTGCTATTTGCATTAATTATAATATTAATGATAAGTCATTTTATTAGGTGGGGAATGTAATTATTTGTTCCAATGTCAAGAAAACTATCATCTGAAATATATTCCAGAATCGTAAGTTCAGATATAAATTTTGAATATTCAAAAAAATATCTAATAAATATATATATATCATTTTAAATAATTTAGTGAATATCAACCAGAAGAGATTTTGTCTTGGCATGAACCTCATATTAATGCTATTCTCGATGTTGCACAGGAAACTTTGCAAAGGTGCATTAACGATATGAAGTTGCCATGTACATTATTACGTAAAAGTAAAGCTGTTGGTATGTGACTAATTCATTTAGATGTGAATTACTATATGTTTACAATTGTATTTACGCAATTTTATTTCTTGCAATAGGCACTGTACCTAAACCAAATGTCAGGATTTTTAGGGAACAGCTTGTTAGTGTTTTAAAAGCGTTTGCAGACTGTATACGAATATTTTCTGCAAATTACGAATTAATTATACTTTATAAATTATGCAGGATGAATGTGTTCTTGCAACTCAACATAGTCTGGTCAGTTATTTGCAGTCACCATCGGGCAAACAACATTCTTTACCTTTTTGTGCATTTAATGGAGGAAGAGACGTTTGGGTCGACATGCAAGTATTTCAATAAAGAGCATAGTCGCGAAATAATTCACACTGCGCGTTATTTCGTACATCGTTTCGAAATAAAGGGTCAAAAATTTGAACCTAATGTATATATATCAATCCGTTAATACATGCTATTACAAGTGTGCGTTATTTGAAACAAAATATGATGCTTTTGAGGATACAATTCCGGAATAACGCTCATGAACGAAACACTATTCCGCGACTATACAGAATATTGTATTAAGTTATCACATTTACATTTAATACATTAATGACGTGATAACTTAAACTTTGATTGGGTACAATTTAGTGGAAATAAACTTATAGGCGTACAGATTTTACAAAAGTTTCTCGGAACTACTCCTTCCGAAACCTTACATGTTGGAGACCAGGTAACATGTTTACCAGTATTATTATTATTATTATTATTATTATTATTATTTAGATTAAAAACAAAAGTTTGTGAACGCTTAATCAATTCAAATACCCACAAACGAAATGTTAATGTCTTAAAATTTTTTTTAAAAAACAAATTATATGCACAAACTTTGGCGATATGTTAAAAAAGATCTTAACATTCGATTTATTTCTTATTTTTTATATATGCAGTTCTTGTCTACAGGAAATGATTTTGCCACAAGATCACAATGTTGTACGTTATGGATTGTTAATCCTGAAGAAACACAAAATGTGTTGATAGAACTAGTATCTTCATTAGAAGAAAAGAAGTCCCAGGAGAACTGTCGTTAAAGGCTATTTCTTAAGTTAGAGAACTGAACCTGATTTATTTAATAGATGTCTTTTCAGATTATATTTATTGTATTTTCATAGTTTTATATGATTCTGTATTTCATTTGTTTTTATAAATGCTTTTTATTATTTTCATAGAATTATTTATTTAACAAATAAAGTATTGTAATATACAAGTACTGTAATATTAACTGCAATTATTTTGCACATTCATATTGCGCCTGAGGTAGGTATTGTGATTTTGATTGATGCGATTTGTCAGGATCATAGTAAAGCAAACCGTATAATTTTGCAGCATTTCGAAGCCATAATCTAGGATTTACTTCTTACTCATCTCTACATACCCAACAAAATTCTAAACATTAATCAATTCTATGTACTAAAATTAACCAGATGGCTTGTATAAAACCTTTTTCCAGGTCAAAACCTTATACTAAACATCTTGATCGTCTTTTTTATTTGACTGTTTCTAGTTTTTATAAGTATCTAGTACTAAGTTAATGTTTGGCATCATGTTAGGGCGAGTGCAAATCTGCGCATAATTGGTAATTTTTATTGGAAGATGGTTAATGAAAGTTGGAACCATGTTGGTGTTGAGAGAATTTGAAAATGCAGACAATAAATTATCATAAATTACGAGCATGTTAGTTGGAGGGTTGCGGGATATATTTTTGGATACAAATGTAATTTTTGTTAAGTGGTGTATAATATTCTGAAAATTTTATATCACTTAATTTATATAAATTAATTATAAAGTTGGGACCTGTTAGAAACAAAAAAAAACCTAATCTAGTGATTTCTGGATTATAAGATATTGCCAATTCGCCAAACTATTCCCTATTCCCTTACCGTGCAAGGTATCTGGATATTTTACATTCCACGTAACAAACCTTATTTATACTCGGTATTACGAATAGTAGTGGTGTATGGTTTAGTAAAGTAGTGGAGTATACTGCAAAAATCGCATTCGAGTATATAAAATTAGCATCATATATTCGTAATATATTATATATAAAATAGTCTGGCTGGAAGGACATAAATTACACTGATATTTTTCATCATTTGAAGGTCTAAAAAAGGCATTGTCAAAAGAATGTAAATTACGCTGATGATTATCATCATTTGAAGGTCTAAAAAGAGCATCTTTTTGATTATCGGCTGTGATCTGAAAGAACATAAATTGCATTAATGTACACCATCATTTGGAAGTCTAAAAATGCATCTTTATGATATCGGCTATGATATGAAAGAACACTATCGATTATGACTGGAAGAACATAAATTAAATTAATGTCTGCCGTCATTCGAACCTTAGAGTGGAACCCTTAAATAGACAATGACTAAAGTTGTATATGTACTCTCACAAACTATGTATGTACTTAGGATATCACTAATTAATAAATATTGTCAGTTTGGCTGAGCAATTGATCACTCATTAAAAAAAAATTTTACATAATTAACGGTTAACAAAATTTCAAAGAAATTTAATTCTCTGGTGTTGCCCACTATCTGTAATATCTGATCTCTGCTTGTGGGTGTTCTATTTAAACTCTCTGACTTATCTAATTAGTATCTATATACTTCTAACTATTTCATTCTAAAGTTGATTGATCCTGTTACTGTTTCCTATTAAGAACCATCCAGGTTTGACATCTCTTTTTGTATCATTACTCTGGTCATAGTAATGCTCATTACTTGGTAGTAAGATGCAGAAGGTCTTTCTGTTAATTTACTTACCTACTCTAAGATCTTAACAGAATTATGTTCATACAAAGTTTACCTGTATCTCAATATCTATTTTACAGCATATCTCTAATATTTTAGTATATTTCTGTTTTGTTTTTAAACTTCTAATTCAGATAGTTCAGAAGAACTGTAACCTTTTTCTATATATTAAATCTGGTCTGATAACCTTTTCTTTTGGTTTGATTTAACAATCCATTGGTTATTTAGCGATTTTTATCTGTCTAATTTCTCTGTATTGGTATTTGTTTTTTTAGTTTAGTCTTTATAGTAATACTTTTATAGATTTGTATTACCTCTCTACTTAGCTTTTCCAAATAGGTTCTGGTTTTTTTCAGTTTTATAAATTTATATAGTCACAAAAACTTGTTTTGGATTTATACTGCCTAGTACCAATTTGCATTACTCTGTATAATTAAAGTTACATAAATACTTCATAACCTGTCTATTATGCTAGTATGATTATAGTTATAAGTTTTTTATCTCAACTGATTGACAGAATACCATTACTATAATATTATAGTTTTACATAGCTAATTATTTAAATTTTTGTTATTAATGGGTTTTGAACTTACAATCTATAACTTAGAAAGTTGATAATCTATTCATTTCACTAGACTATCACACTCTCTAATTATATAAATTTATTTCTTTCAAATAAAAAATAATAAATTTATATAATTAATATAAAAATTTAAAATTAATTCTTTTTAATAATTACTTAAATCAAGTTTGTACTAAAAATAGATTGAAGATTTTGGTTTTAAAATATTAAAAAATAAACAAAACTTGAATAGTTTTTATTTTAAATTAAGCTTCTTGTTTGACAAACTTTCTTATATATTTGATATTTAAATTAAAAAAAATTTTAAAAATAAATAAAGATCAAAACAAGTTTTTAATCAAGAATATAAAAAATAGAAAAAAAAATTAGAAAAATTTTTTTTAATTTAGATATTTGTAATAATATAATATATATCTATATTTAATTTTTATTTTTTTTTATAAAAACTAAAAATTTAATATATTTTTATCAAAAGATCAATACTGTATATTATTTTTTTATAATTATATATTTGTTTGAATATAATAAATAAGAAACACAACAAATATATAGATTAGTCAATTATATAAAACAAATTAAAAAAGAATTTAAATTAAAAAATCTAAAAATTTATTAAGATATATATATATTTTTTTTTAATATTAATAGTAAAATTATATTTCTATCTTTATTGATATTTAATTGAGATTTTATATAAGATATAAATCTGTTTTTAAAATATTATAAAAAGAATAGAAGTTTAGACTAATTTATCTATAATCTAAATTAACAAATATAACCAAAGCTCATCTAGATTTGAGTATTAGTAATTATATATAAATGATTAGTTTGATATTTAATTTATTAAACATATCAGAAATTAATTTTTAAATTAATATAATTAAAAAAAATATACATATATTCTAAAGTTATATAGATCATATCATTACTTCTGATACATTATATTTTTTAAAATAAATTAAAAAGCTTATTAATAATATTAAATCTAATAACTGTTATTTTAAACTATACTTTT